TAGACTACACCTTTAACCTCTTGGGGTTTAGATGTGTTCATGCCGTTGGCTCTTAGCAGGGTGTTGAGGGAGTTCGAGCTGGTGAAGTGGGTGTCGATGTTGGCTTGCTGTTTGAGGAGGCGGCTGATGATGTGGGAGGCTTTTCCTATGAACGGGAGGGCGATGCGGAAGGGCACTGATTCGGGTTTAAGGGCCGCATGTCTGGGTGTGGGATAGAGTACAGAGGCGATGACTTTGTCGACTAGTTTGCCCGGATAATTGTTGAGGTGGGTGAAGACTTGGCGGAGGTGTGCGATCTCAGGTTTTGGGTCAGCAGAGGAAAGGTTGATGGCACGTTTGGTAAGGGTGGAGATGATGCCAGTCTTGGTTCTGAGAGAGTAGTTAGAGTTGAAGTGGATATACTGGTCGGTGTGGGTGGGCTTCCGGTAGACACTGGTTTGGATTCTGTTAGCTGAGTTTCTACAAACGAGGACATCTAGGAAGGGTAGTTGGTTGTCCTTTTCTGTTTCGATGGTGAACTGTACTCGGGGGTGTTTTTGGTTAAGATGTTGTAGTAGCAGGGTTGGGTCTTGGTCTTGTTTGAGGATGACAAAGGTGTCGTCAACTTTCCTGTACCAGCAAATAGGTTGAATGGGTGATGTTGTATGCCCTTGTTGTTACTGTTAATCCTCTACTGTTAATCCTCCACTTGCTATATATAGTCTGCACTATCGTCCTCATTCAGTCTTGCTTGACAACGGTATAAGGATCTATACCGAAACGTCGCTTTTTACAGTATTAAAGAAGTTGTTATCCATAAAATTGTGTCTATCAGGTCTTCTATGTCTGTCATTTTGACGTGTTGCTGGCTTTGTTTAACAGGACTCCTCGGACATTAAACAGTAGCGTGAACAGAGGCGGTAGTTGGCATACTAAGCTGAGACAACATGCCTGGCTGGAGAACCTTGTTGTTATCTCTCATCAATGTTGACTGTACTCGACGTGCTACCTCCTGGCAAATGGTGTGAAGAACAGAGAGGTGGATTACATGTTTATGCTCTTATGACTATTACCATCATCTGTCATCTATTTCCCATCATCTTCCTGTCATACGTTACCTTTATCTTTCTATCATCTCTTGCAATTCATCTTCCTGTCATCTCTTTCCCTTCATCTTTCCCTTCCATCTTCCTATAATATTTGTCTCTTCATCTTCCTGTCATCTCTTTCCCTTCATCTTCCTGTCATCTCTTTCCTTTCATCTTCCTGTCATATTTCTCTTTATCTTCCTGTCATAGCTTTCCCTTATCTGCTGTCATCTCTTGCCCTTCATTTGCTGTCATATTTTTCCCCTTTTCCCTTTTCCGGAAATCAGTGATGAGAACAAATGTTCGGGAAAAACGTAAAGCAAGACAAACATGTATGCCTTTACTGAGGCATCTTCTCGAGGCAAGGGATTAACTGACTACAAAAGTCCAGTTTCCACCCTTGCCTAACTATACTGGAATTTATGGGCTTGATCGTAGGGCCACCAGTGGCTATAACGAGTTATGCCCCTTCTATGTCCCTCCTATTGACCAATCAGCATCCACCTCTCATATCACTTGCATTTGCTTCGAACAATGTGGCGGCGGTCAGTCAATACCATCTGGTAGATAATCAAGATGTATTTTGTAATAAAACGGATTTTACCTCACGAAGTGCATGAAATCACTTGATTAAAAACATAAACAGATTCAATGATCAACCCCCGTAATGTAGCTGTAATATTTTTTACACGCAATTTCTAATAACAGACAAAAAACGGAATAAAACATAGTAGATTATGTCCCTTCGTCTTACTCACCTCTCCAAGAGAAATCTATATGCCTTCACTGAGGACGCCGATTAACACTGTAATGAAATGTAATCACGTGTACAAGATGTTTTGTCTTGACAGAAGACGGCTTTCAACAATTGTGATGTAAAGTGTTCATATCTGCTTTATGTAAGTTTGTGTGTATCCCCACTTGCTGTTACCCTGCCTGGCACGCGGACTTTATGGAATAAAACTTGGACTTGTCGGTTCGGAGTCAGCATTATCTGCCTGCGTGCAGCATCCATGTTAAACTGCCAGGACATAGCGATCTTGGGCCGCTGTGCTGATGCGTTGTCTTGGTAATATGTATTGGCATCAAGCGGTGTCACGTATATTCTTTCAGAGAGACGTATATCCTATGAGATACAGAATGTATGTCCTATCAGTTAGACGACGTATATCCTATTTGAGAGATGAAACACATCTTATCTGAGAGACGACATACCGTATATGTGAGACGACTTCTACACTATATGAGAGATGAGTTAAACACTTTTGGATAGACGACGTTTACCACGTCAGGGAGATGACCTATATCCACTCTGGGAGACGACTTCTACTGTTACGAGTGATGGTGAAGCAAAAGGGTGCACCTGAAAACCACTCACACAATTAAAATGGATTAAACAACAATCTAACTGCAGTTAAGAAGAATAAGATAACACTACACTGAGAATAATTCATTACACACAATACTGTTTAATATAACAACTAAGGGCACCCTAGCTATACTATCGGCAAAGCAATATGGCAATATTAATATCCAAAGTCATAATCACCAGTGGTATAATTCTCCCAATTCCGGATCAGACATTGTTATTTCACAGTGGTACATTGTTTACCGAGCATTGCCATGGATGCAAATTCACAAACAAGAAATAAGGTCCTCATCATAGATAAAACAGGAAGAGGCAACAATGGAGGCTGTGCCACATTAAGTGACAAACACCACTGCCCTTCTAAAACAATCACAGGAGTTTTGAAATGATTTGCCGATTATCTACCTACGTTGACTTATACACAAATGCTACTCGCCTGAATTAATCAGATCACATGTTGAACATTCAATTACATTACAAGCAATTCACTCAACTGAATGCTCCTTACCTCAAGCCAAGTATAATTGCACCTATTATACTGATCATCAGGTAAAAATATACACCCTATATTAAAACATAAATCAGCACATATAACACTACCCTTTCACGGAGTCGTACGTTCACATCAGACAGACGACGTATAACCTTTCTAAGAGACGACTTCTACCTTATCTGAGACTCGACGTACATGTATATGCTATCAAAGAGACGACGTATATCCTATCAGAGAGACGGCTTCTACCCTATCTGAGACTCGACGTATATGCTATCAAAGAGACGACGTATATCCTATCAGAGAGACGGCTTCTACCCTACCTGAGACTCGACGTATATGCTATCAAAGAGACGACGTACATCCTATCAGAGAGACGACGAATGTATTAGCAGAGAGACGATATATATCCTATCAGAGAGACGATATACCGTACCTGACTTCTACTCATCTGCGAAACGACGTAGACACTGAGAGACGACTTCTTTCTTATATGAGTGGCGAGTAGGATCATAGCAGACAGATGACGTACAGTTAGCCTAAGAGACGACGTCTACCTTATCAGAGAGTGGTGTATATCCTATCAGAGTGACGACATATATCCTATCAGAGTGACGACGTATATCCTATCAGAGTGACGACGTATATGCCATGAGGGAGACGTCGAATATCCTGGTAGAGATACGATATGGATACTATCAGAGAAACAACATACCCTTTCTGAGACACGATTTCTACCCTGAGAGGCGACGTCTTTCCCATATAAGTGGCGAGTAAGACCATATCTGAGAGCCTACCTTGGAGACGGCTTCTACCCTAAACGAGAGACGACGCCTATCCTAGAGATACTTTTATCTCACCTAAGAGATGGCGTATATCCTACCTGAAAGACGATTTCTACCTCATCAGAGAGACGACTTCTACCCTCAGAGAAATGACATATATCCTATCAGAGAGACGACGTATTTGCTATCTGACAGTCGAAATCCTTCCCATCATAGAGATGGCATATATCCTATCTGAAAGACGACTTCTACCAAATCAGAAAGGTAACTTCTACTCTCAGAGAAATGTCATATATCACGTCAGAGAGACGACTTGTATCCTATCAGAGAGACGACGTCGTTCCTACCTGAGAAATGATATATATCTCATTAGAGAGATGACGTAAATCCTATTTGAGTGACGGCGTATATCCTATCCAATAGATGACATATATCTCATCTAGGAGACGACATACCCAATCTGAGAGATGACTACTCCCCTTTAGACAGACGACGTATATCCTGTCTGAGATCCGATATACCTTATCTGAGAGACTTCTACCATATATGAGAGGCGAGTTAGACCCTATCAGGGAGATGACGTATATCGTATCTGAGGGACGACAAATACCCTACCCGAGAGTTGATACATGTATAAATGACATAACTTAGCCGGGGGTACACTAGGCGTGCTGGTGGCATTGTGGCAGGCCATATTGAAGTTAGTATCTATTCACATCAATGTGTCATTAAACGTGTAAAATCTGGATGATTTCCAATCAATTATTATTGATTTATACAACTCACCACTCAATCTAAAAGGTGCAGTCATGGAGACACCTACGTCAATATCAGAATAATCGTATGGTATTGATCCGCAACAAATATATTATGCACGCATTGACAACAGTAACATAGGCGTTCGGTCGGGTTTCTCGCAAATACATTGACAGAATTGGAAAGCCCGGATCAATTTCTTCGAAAGACTATTATTTACTGCGAGGCGTCTGGACGACAATATTCTGAACCATTGTGAGAGTATGAACAGAATTTAAAGTGTGCATGCTTTTATTTTCAAAAATTGGATTACGTTCTTTCGAGAATGGGACGTCAGTATCTATTCAGGCTCGAATAATCAGTTATACGGTTGATGAAAGTGTTCTTCTTCAGTACACATTAATGTGAGCAGATATTAAGGCATGCGTTTTATGCACTGAGCTCCAGCTAAGCTTGTGACCTTCTAATCTCTGTTGGAATAAGCAAGTGGTCAGGCCTGTCAAGGAACTAGCAGTTGTCTGGGAGAAAAGGTATGTTAAGATATGTGGTCATGCTGTCGCGATGTTGTTATACATGTCAGCCCTGTGTGAGCGTTGTTATATGTCGATATTGATTAAATAATTAAATGATACCCGTCTCATAATAAATCTACCCATGAAGATCCGGGTTTGAATAGGTCTTCAGCAACCCATGCTTGCCTAAATAGGCGACTATGCTTGTCGTGAGAGGCGACTAACGCGATAGGGTGGTCAGGTTCGCTGAATTGGTAGACGCATGGCATCGTATGCCAATTTCATAGACCAATGCTCACGATGTCAATCACTGGATTGCCTGGTCCAGACTCGATTATTCATAGGCCGCCGGCACATTGCTGACAGAGGCGTAAAATAACAAAGAAATAAACAAAAACTTTCATTTGGTGGATTGTGTTTGGTCCTCTCAACATTGTTTGGATTTGTATCTGCCAACCTTGTGTCGGTGCGTTTGTGGCGTAGGTTAAGACGAAAATTCTGACTAAAATACACTATATATTTGTCAATACCTACTTTCGTTATGCATTTAGATAGATTGTGTCAATAAGTTGTTTGCAAAAACAATTTACTCATATGCAATATTGCGTATAAATCAATCATTGTCAGTCATTCTATATCAAGTTTAGATACTTGTTCTTGGTTCCCATATCCACACGATGATATATCAATAAATGAGATTAAGCATAAACATACTCTGTGGCACAGTAATAAACACCTGATTATTCACAGCGAGATGATTTCGAATCTAACGGCATAATGCAATGGTGAATGATGTAATATAGTCGTTCCGGATGACAATCGTGGTTCGCTCTAATGTCACGGGTAACGACATGCCACGTGCGATGCCGCCAGAATAAACTCCTCGATGACACCGAGTTGTTCTGTTATCTTAACTGATAGAGGTCAGTAGAAAACAGATGAGAGAAAACCTTTCCTGTTCTTATTCAAGATGCGGCATAAACGTCAAGAATAAAAGAACAAGCATTCGAAATCCCGCGTATGTGTCATAGTCAACTGGGCAACACATATACAAATACCTTCTTTGTGTGGGAATTTTGTTTAAAACACAAAATGTCATTTTTGTCTGCGCTTCTGGACGTACAAGCGTTTACATACTAACGATTATTTGAATCATTGCTATAAACAAAAGTACACACATGTGCGTTTTGTTCATAACGCAATTGAATATATAAACAGGTTAAACTTAAGGAGACATCCCCCTTATGCACTTGTACACATTAGGTATCCGTTCTGCTTCAATAAAAACGGCATAACCCGCGAATAGGAATGGTATACTTGAGAGTGACCTGCCTTCTTTTCCCCAGTCTGTCGCCAGCCAACTCGGGTCTCATACCTAAATACATGTCGCAAGATCTTGGGACTGAGCGGGCCATTGCAATGTCCGTATGCATTTTCTCCTCAACGTTTTCTGCATGGGCTAAACCTTCATTCGTCAGTATACGTGGTGTAAACGTGGAGCCGGGTTTAACAGTGGATGTTGACATTCGCCTTCCTGTTAGTGTTCGGAATTCCCTTTTGATAACAATATCGGATTTGAATCTTTTGCGTAGTCCAAGTAATGTTATGAAACATTTTTGCCTTAGTATCGTGTCGGTAGGCCTGCCAAGCGTAGGTATCATTGCAACTTGTCCTACAGTAAATTTGCCTAACATTCGGGCAACTGAGGATTGAAGTCCTCTTCTATGGCAGAAACACTCTGTTTCTCGACCTAAATTGGACGAGTAGAGGGGCAAACGAGGCCTTTTCACCTCTATGCCTGAACTTAGTTCAGTAAGTAAAATATAGCAATCATTGATATCATTATTCTCCTTAAAACTGAGAAAACATTGTCGTTATGCTTTTATTCCGATTGGATACAATTTGTTGTTTTGTCACATGTGTGAAGTTCATGACTTGTCATTGTCAGAGTACATGAAACATTTGCAGAACGTGTTTGCCAATCCAATTAATATACATGTGACATGTGACTTCAGTGAGAAGCTGTGAGGAGGAACACCTCAGCTGAGGTCTCAAAACTAGGTTCAGTTTGGAAACTACTGAAGTTATATAGATGGAACGTGCGCACTTATCTGAGGGATATTTGTCTGAAGAAAGCACTAAAGTTGATTTTTAGAATACGTGTGCCGTACAGGGTTGACCTCGTTTTATACGTCACACCGGAACTACTTTTTTCATTCATGAAAACAAATATCGAGACATAATTCCTTTTGCAACTACAAGTCAGCGAGAGAGAGAGAGAGAGAGAGAGAGAGAGAGAGAGAGAGAGAGAGAGAGAGACAGAGAGAGAGAGAGAGAGAGATTTACAAACAATTGAATAAACCAAACAAGATAGTCACACACATCAAATTCTATATTAATTGTGCGTGAAGCTGCTACAGATATTATTTCGATATAATCCGTAACTCGAGCTATAACCATTTGCAATACCGATAGGCCAGGGCCGGGTCCCTGTGAGCATAACACACCCGACCACTTTCGCGACTTTTAATTTGATTTAACGTAAAAGGATACGTGGGGTGAAATGAAGTCAGTTAAAACAGATATCTAGACTTATGTTAGATGCTCCGTGTGTGCCATCAGTGTCTGCTTCGAAGCGTATTTGTGACATTTTGTAACATTGAAGGTGTTTGTTCATAGATGAACATACACGACCAGATCACTGAATGTGAAAAGTTCTGATACAAACCATTTGAAAACATCCTATATGTGAACAATAACATTACCTATTGATCTCCCTTCGTAAATGCAGTGAGTTGATGACGGTAGTCTTTTCTTATTTCGATGATGACCGTGCCCTTCGGTCGAAGCTGTCACTGACACAAGATCGGAGTTGAGTTTGTGGATTTTCACGTCTTCAGCATAGAGTCGTATAGTTAACATACAAGTAAACGTCTTTGGCGAGCACTCTGATTTTCCTCTTCCAAAATGGTACGGACAGGATATACATTCAGCTGATTGATCAAGGAAACCGATTGTACAGCCGGGACCCCGTCGGTGGGAGTGACCGAGTGTTGGTTCGAGATTCAAAGCGCGGCGCGAATATTGACTTTTTAAAGTTTTCTTACAATTGTCCTGTGTACTTGCAACACTGCGCTTGCATAACTTGAAGATATTATTTTAAAACAATCTTCAGCGTTGGTGCTGTCATATTTGCACACACAACAGCAGGAACATGTTCTTATTGCGTATGCATAGACATGTCAACAATGCCCATATATGGGCATATGTCAATACCCATGCGCAACAAGATTTGCAGCCGGTTTCAGTTTGGTCTGTTAGCGAACGAAAGTTGTTATGTATTTACATTTAAATACATAGTTAACGTGGGTAATAAAAAAAATACCACACTCATTCTCGTTAGATACCATTATTACGAAACGCCTGAACTTTCTATGAATGCGTGTAGTATTGTCTATTTAGTTTCGTTATGGCCTTTGCTTCATATTTATGACCTTGGTGCACACTGCATTCGATAGGAAAAAAAAGATGTTCTCGAAAACTTTTGAAGCAGCACAAATAAAACGGCAAAACCTTTCTATTTTCGTGAGATATATCTGCCAAAAGCAGAGTCGATTGTACGAGGCCAAGCCCACATGAAAAGGCAATTGTTCACCTGGACAAAAGCACGGGAACATCTTGTCAAAATAATGGATTTGTGTCACTGATTTGGCAAATAAAGAAATGTCCTCCACTTGTCAAGACATGGCGACAACGCTAGTTTTTTTTTAATACAGTGTTATTCTATTGTGTTTTCTACGTTCATCCATGAATATTTTTTTTAATTTAAAGTTTCAACTATATACTGTTATTCCATTAAACGAGAGGTAGGTCACATGACAGCGAAATTGATGTTCATACGTTTTTCCACGAGACAGTGTCCTTGAAATGACGTAAACACTGACGGACTACTTCCACATTACTGGGAAACCCCTGGGAATTCCCAAGCGCGAATACATATAGAAACGTTCTTTCTGATCATTTAGATCCTAAAAATCTTGAACTCAGCGTCTTAATGTACATTGAGAAACGTCAGACAGTATTACTGCATGATCGTTCACGAATATCCTCACCACGAGCCATCCTAGTGAACAAACGAAGAAATGCACATCCAAATTATTATAGTATCGACTCGATCCGTGTCTTGGCTGACAGTGGCAGTCTGCAGCAATCTATGAATTGACCACAGTGTCTATTTGACAAATTTTAATCACCTTAGAATGATCGATCAGTTGACCAGTGATGACTAACACATGTAACCGCCACAGGTTCATTAACAACTTCCGAAATCTCTCCCGTCACGTTTATCGTGTCAGCCATTTTGACGTCTTGTACTTGATGTAAATCTATTGCGACGTCCCGTCATAGTGACTGACTTACTCAGGTAGTTCTTAACATACCTTTCTCATCTGATGGTGACTTTTTTTTAACACATGTGTTGTGTCAGGCTTCGTTAGACCGTTAACGGGTCGATTAAATACTAACTGGTCATTCGAAACTCTGGTTTCGTTCGTAAATGGTTCCGGGGTAGTCTTGAAATACTACTGACTTAAAACTTGGGCTATGGTTTTTCATACTGCGTTTTTGTAGTAATCTGTGGACAACCAACCTTCCAGTGATTGTCTATTTTGGGGGAAGTTTAATATTCCTTTCACAGTCAAAGTAATGCAGTCTTTGGTCTATAGGAATAGTTTTATTTTCAAACGTTTCTGTCTATTTGTCCAAGTGGCGTATTTTAGGTATAGGGCCTCTGTGTTTAGTTCACGTTATTTAACCTAGCTGAGGCAATTCACTCATTAGACTGTTGAATTAATTGACTCGGGAGTTAACTGGTCGCAGCTGAGTTAATTGTCTGTCTACGCATCTGGTCGGCATGTTGTCAAAGTGTTGTTTTAGCTTCAAATTTTAATTTATAACTGTAAAGCAGTTGCTTATTTAAGCCGCTTGTATATCTGCGCTAATGTAAGTAAAATGTGATC